CGGCAGGCCCCGAGCGAGATGCCGCGAGAGACCTCCCACCCAGACATCGCGAGAGTTGCAGGAGAGAGGGCCTGTCTTCCCCTCTGACGTCAGCCTAGGTTACCGCTGAGCGCGTGTCGTAGCAACCGGGCGGTGAGCTCGGGCCTGGGGCTGGGCTTGGGGTGGGGGTGGGCCTGGCCGGCCGACCGGCCAGCCTCGGGGGGGCGCTCCGCCCCCGGTGCCCGGTCCTTCCGCCAGCGATCGCCTCCTGCGCGGCCAGGGCAGTGGACGCCCCGGGGAAAGAGGTGCCAGGCCCCTGGTTGGTCCAGTTGCTATGGTAACCGATGCTAGATGCCATAGCAACCGGCGCTGAGGATGGCATAGGAGGGAGTTGCCATGGCGACCGCTGCTTCAGGAGCGGCAGGGCAGAGGCACCAGTACAGGTGCAGTGCAGGTGCCAGCGACCTGGGGAAGGCGCCTGGGCCTGTCCTGCTGAGCACCCGCCCTCGGCACCACCCAGGAGCAGCCCTGAGTAGCGAGATCCTTCACAGAGGGCATTTACCCCCCAGAACCATTTTGAGAAAATATAACCGAAGACTCCTGACAGCCGGATCCTTCTCTCTCATTTCCTGCCCGGCTCACGCAGGCGGGTTCAGACGCTCTGAGCGTGACGGGCCATCTTCATCTTCCACAGTGTGTTTCAGGATGAATTCTGGCCTCTTCTCTCTCTGTTAAGGCCTCTGCCCCTGCAGTCCTTGCGGCAGTGGTTCTCTACCTTTTCAGACTCGAGGCGGCGCTCTGTGTCACTTTGGGGAACTGAGCAGCACCCCATTTCAAAAGCTAATTTCTTAATTGCAGGACTTATGTCCTTACAGAGTGGCAGGTAGTGGGGGAGCATGAACCTGCCTCCCTCTGCTTATCTCCTCACTCCTGAAGCCAGAGTCTGCCTGTATTTGTTTATCGCCTCACACTTCCTGCAGCCCGCTTAAAATAATCTTCACCCTGGTTGAGAATCACTGCCTCATGGATTCAATATCCCACACGGCCCAAAGGACAAGCCAGGGTCCGAAGTGATTGTTTTCATTCATGGATGAAATATAACATATAAAAAAAAGTGATTTTTTAATATTATTTAGATTGTCAAGGACTCGCCTTCTTGGAACATTTTGATTGTTCATTATTATATCCACCCAGCAACATGGCAGGATTGGTTCTTTGTGAACCCACTGAACTTTACAATATCTTGAACCAATCCATGAACCTCACCAGGTTAACTGAGCCAAACTATCTCTGCCTATTGGGTAAGTGAACAAGAATGCAGATGTATATTTTTATATTCACTTACTGAAAAGGTAATTTTTGTTATAATGACTGTGACTTGATGGCTGTAAAACTTTCTACTTTGGTCAAAATCCAGCTTCTGGATACATCTGAAAGTCAAGGTACTAGGCAGCAGTAATAGTTGGCCAGCCCCAGAAAGGACCACATTTGTTTTTTTGTTCATGGCACGTTATAATCCCTTAGGGCCTGCACCTTATCCACAAATGGTTGTATCCCCCCCCACTCAGAAACCCTAATAGTGGGTGTCCTGTTGCCCTCTTTCTTTGGGTTGGCCATCAGACCTGTGGCTTGTAGTCCTTTTAACACTGCCATCAGATGTCATGGGTATTCTTCCCAGGTCTCCAAGTACACTACCATATTGTTGATATATGCAGTGGCATATCCCCAATGAGGTGCCAACACCTTATCCATCAGGTGCTGGAATGCTGCTGCCACTCCATGTAGGCCAAACAGCATCTGAATGAGTTCATAAAGCCCCCATGGAGTGGCAAGTGGAGTTTTCTCCTGAGTGTTTGCTCCTAGGGGTATTTGCCAGTACCCCGTCTATGGTGGAGATAAACTGCGCCCCCTTCCCGCCACATCCATTCCAGCAAGACCTCTACCCGAGGCATGGGGTAAGCATCAAAGCACACTGCTGTTAACTTTTCTAAAATCAATGCAAAACCTCATGCTCCCATCCTTTTTTGGGACCATACTGATGGGATTTCACCAGGTGCTTCTAGATTCTTTTACCACCCCATCCGCTAGCATCTAGGTGACCTCCCGGTGCACAGTTTCCTGGAGTTTTTAGCGGATCTGCCACCAGTCCTCCCGTACAATCTTTTTTAGCACCTGGTGGGGTCTCCATCTGGTGTTCCACCCATTGAGTTTTCCCCAGGTGGTCTGAAAATACTGTTCTGAATTGCTCTACCAGCTGGGCTGCTTGCTGCTGCATGTGTGTCAGCCCTCCCACCCATCTTGACAGGCCATGCTGAGCCTTGTTCTGGCACTTCCAGACTAAACTTGTCTGATTCTGGGCTCGGGGTCCCTCCCCCCCACCCCTTTACAGCAACAAACAGGGCCTCCCTATCCACCCACCTCTTTAGGAGGTTAATATGGTATAGCTGCTGGGTTTTATGCCTGCCCAGCTGCCATACCTCATAGTTCACTGGGCCCATCTGTCATATCACCTTGCATGTCCGTTGCCTCCAATTTTATGGCCTGGTGGTATCATCAGGTAGCAGTACCTGATCACCCTCATTGAACTGCCCCTTGCATGCCCATTGATTGTATTTGACAGCCTGCCTACCTTGGGCTGTTTGCCTCTCCCTCATCTCCAGCACATGTGCTACTAGGCTTCATGCCAACCCTTCCTGTTGTTCCCAACCTTCTTTGATCAAATCCAGAATTCCCCAGGGGTGGTGGCTGTACAATAGCTCAAATAGTGAAAACCCAGTGGTACTCTGGGCGGCTTCTTGGTAAGCAAACATTAGGGCTTATCGCACCTCTGCGCATCTCACCTGGCATCCTTTTTAAGCATACTCTTAAGGGTCTGGTTGAACCATTCAGTCAGCCCATCTGTTTAAGAGGTAAATGGATGTTCGAAGATGCCAGATTCTTAACATAGCACAGAACTCTTTGAACACCTGAGCCAAAAAATTGCTGCCCTGATCTGTTAATATTCCTTCGGCAGGCCCATATGGGTAAATATCTTAAGCGGTTCCTTTGCCACTTTGCCCATGGTCACTGTCCTTATGGGGTCCACCTTTGAATATCAGGTGGCGTTATCCACCAGAACCAAAATGTATTGGAACCCTGCATTACATTGAGGCAATGGCCCCATGATGTCCACGGCCACCCATTCAAAGCCTTCTTCCATGAGCAGCATGGCAACCAGTGGGGCCTTTGGGGGACAGTTTGAGTGTGCTAGTTGGCACTCTGGGCAGGACTGGCAAAACTGCCTGTAACAGGGGGTCTTCTTGGGGCCGATTTACCTTTGGTCTGCCCACCTGTTTCTGGGCCAACTGCCCGCCTTCTTTCCTGCCATGCCTTGTTATTAATTAATTAATTAACAATCTTAACTAGGCGGGAGGCAGCCCATTTCTTGCCCTGATACCAGGGGGCACTATCTGCGGCTCCGTACCTCCCCTACACAGGAGCCCATGCCTCACAGATGGCATCTGCTGATGTTAATCTTGCCAGCCCCACACTGGGCCCCAGACTCCTCTAATCAGGACCCCTCTAAGATCCCTCCATTCTGACAGCCCACCCCGCCTTCATTCAGGCTATTTTCCCCTCTCAGGTGTGGTCCCCCCAGGACTTTTGGCCATACAGGCCCTGGCCTCACCTCCAAGGCCAGTTGAAAACCCCAGGCCCTTTTAGCTCTGGGCATCCCTCATGGTGGCCATGGTGACCTCCTGGCCCTTTTGACCATTCTGGTCCTAGCCCCAGCATTGACCAGTTGAGGGTACTCTCTATCAGGTCTGAGTCTGTAGCCCCGCTCTCTCCTCTGGGGTCTGCCTTCTGGGCCCTAGTAGCAGGGTGTAGGGGCTGGGGTTAAGGCTCCCCAACCCACTTTTCACTGGGGTGGGAACTGGCCTGGCATTTCCTGGGGGCTCCAGCACCACTGAGATTCCCACCAGGCCACCCATTCCCAGCAGGGTGCAGTTTTAGGTCATGTCCAGGACCAGAAGCCTCCAAGCCATCCCCTATAGCTCCTCCCTTACCTGCAGAATGATATATGAAGCCTCACAGCCAGGCAATGTTACTGCCTGGCCTGCCAGCAGGCAACTGAATTATTTATATAGGCAGCCAGGGATCTAAAATGGCTGGGGGAATCAGGCACCTGCTGGCTGTTTGGCTCTGATCTTAAAGTGGCAGGCACCAACAGTGCCCTGCCACACTGCCCTACCTCCCACTGGATCCCCAGGCAAAAAACATATCTAAAAGGCACTTCTTGATTTTACCTCCATCACATGGCCCCCAGTAGGGAGCTCATGGGTAATTCTTACAAGGGCTCTGCAGCACCTCTTCAGGACTAGGAGCTGAGAGACCTCATTTCTTAGCCCCTGCCCATGGTCTACTTGGTGCAACACCCTCCTCCCTGCCCCTTTACCTCAAATTGGGGTATCATTCGTACTAGATCAGGTTGTGCCACCTCTTCCTCCACTGGGGTGATGCTTCCTTCATATACCCGTCTGAATCCATCTTCAGGGACTGCTCTACCACAAACTGTCCCATCTCCAGTTCCTGTTGCCAGTCCATGTTGGTCTCCCAAATGTGGGTCAGGCTTCCAAAACTCATGTTTGGCTGAGATTCCCCTAGGAACCCGCAGCCTCGGTTTACACTAGGGTGCCTTCCACTGAGTGAGCATGCCCAACAATTCCCACAGGCTGGGCCGATCCTGTCCTAACAACACTGGGTGAGCCAGGTGCCTGACTAGGCATGCTAGTACTTGGTGGGTGTGCCCTTCCACAGTTAGCTGTACCTAGGATCTTTTGTAGGTCTGGGCCTTGCCACGGAGGCAGACCAGCTCCAGCTCATTGCCTGGCAGCAATCTGCATCCCACACCAACTCTTGTCGGACCACTGTCCACATGGAGCCAGTGTCCACCAAAGCAGCCACCCGCTAGCCTTCCAGGCAGACCTCAACTGTAATGCAGAAGCCTTCTTTTGAGTGCCCCATCTCCCATGGATGCAGCCCATCACTAAACGTGTACTCCATCTATTCTACTGGAGCAAGGTCTTATCTGGGGGCTGGTTCTTTTCCCCAGATGATCTTCCACACTCCCCTGGTAGTCACTTGTAGTGACTGCAGCACTGATGCCTACACAGTCAGATGAGTGACAAATTGGCTAGATGGTCACACCCAGAGAGTGGTGGTGGACGGATTGTTTTTGAGCTGGAGCAATGCGTGCAGTGGAGTCCCCCAGGGCTTGGTCCTGGGGCCTGTACTGTTCAACATCTTTATCAGCAATCTGGATGTGGGTATGGAAAGCTCACTGTCCAAATTTGCTGATGACACCAAGATGTGGGGCGAGGTGGGCATGCTGGAGGGGAGGGACAGAATCTAGCTAGATCTAGAAAGGTTACAGAGGTGGGCAGATGAGAATAGGATGGAATTCAGTGCAGACAAGTGCAGGGTACTGCATCTAGGGAGAAGGAACCAGCAACACACCCGTAGCCTGGGGAACACCCCTCTTGTCAAAACAGTGGCAGAAAGGGATCTTGGAGTCATTGCTGACTCCAGGATGAACCTGAGCCGCCAATGCGAGGAAGCAGTCAGCAAGGCTAACCGCACCTTGTCGTGCATTTACAGATGCACCACAAGCAGGTCCAGGGATGCTTCCACTCTATGTGGTGTTGGTCAGGCCACAGTTGGAGTACTGCGTCCAGTTCTGGGTGCCGCACTTCAAGAGGGATGTGGCTAGCATTGAGGGGGTCCAGAGGAGGGCCACTCGCACGATCAGGGGGCAGCAGGGCAGGCCCTACGAGGAGAGGCTAAAGGGCCTGAATCTATTCAGCCTCCACAAGAGAAGGCTGAGAGGCGATCTGGTGGCCGTTTGCAAACTCACCGGTGGGGACCAGCAGAAATTGGGTGAGGCTCTGTTCCCTTGGGCACCACCAGGGGTTACTAGGAATAACGGCCACAAGTTGTTAGAGAGAAGGTTCAGGCTGGACATCAGGAGACACTACTTTGCAGTTAGGGTGGCCAGGGTCTGGAATGGACTCCGAAGGGAGGTGGTGCTCTCTCCTACCTTGGGGGTCTTCAAGAGGAGGCTGGACATATATTTGGCTGGGGTGTTGACTCCCTCAGCTGTACCTGCAGCTGCACTAGGCCAGCCAGGTGGGCTTTTGCTGCTTGGTCTCTTTGGCTGCTACCACCTGCTGCTGCACCAGGAGCTACATCACCTGCTCCATGGTTGCAGTCAAGACTGGGCTCCAGCCAACCCTTGTTCACAACAACCTCAGTTCAAATTCAAGTCACAGCACCAACTGTGAACAGCCAAGGCAGCCACAGTCCCTGAGGGCCACTGCTGGGTGTGTTGGGTTAGGCGTGCTGCTGGCCCCCTGACCCCTTTTACTCTAGCTGCAGGGGGTCTGCTGGCAACCCACTGATCCAGACCCTGGCCTCCCCAGGCAGCTGGCTGGGGTGCACCACTGGAACCACAGGCTTTCCCCAGGGCCCCTGGGCTCTGTGCCCAGGGTCCACAAATGTGAAACTTAAATCAATAAAAAGGTCAATGCAAAAGGTTGCACTTACCTGTGCTCATTATTTATGGTCCCTGCTGCTCGCTCTGGGTGGGGAGTCCAGTGTGCTCCCAGCAGCCCTGGTCTGGGTTCAGGCTCACTGCAGAGCTCTTGCCAGGTGAGGGAAAATCTGCTTGCCTGCTTCTACCCCAGCCAGCCCCATGCAGCCGCTGCTGGCTGCTCTTAGCTCCCTGCACCCTGTCCGGGTGGTAGGGCTCCTGACTGCCCGCAGCTGGGGACATTTCCCCAGCTGGAACTGTCAACTGCCACTGCACCCCTCTGTGGACTTCCAGCCAGTCCATGCGGCTGTGGCACAGCTGCATCTGTTTTGGGCGTGCTTCTTCCCACAGTGACAGGGCTGGGCCCCATTACATAAGGTACAATCTCTGCAAGCATTTCACATCAAGATGACTATCTCAGAATAACTATTTTAGTGTAATAAACACACCCTTATTTACAATGAAGACAGAACAGGCAGAATGATCTTGCGGACTGGAATTCAGGAAAAAGCCGAGTTCCCACTGTGACCGTTGCTACTGACACGGTATTCTTATGCAAACCACTTAATCTTTCCGTACCAAATTCAGAGATTATGTAATTAAAAATATGAATGTTGTGTCTTGAAGTTGGTGGAGAGTGTCATAACTTACACGCTATGTGGATAAATATGGCAGAAAAAGCAATTAGCAGAAGGTGTAAGACAGTTTAAGATGAAGGAGAGCTTCCCTGTTTTATGTTAGCTGCTACTTCACTTTGATCCACCCCACTTGCATATGAGTTACATACCATACAGATCCATACCATGAGACTTCCTTTCTGTTTTTCAGCCTTAAAAGAAAGCTGGATTCTGGTCTGGTGTTTGTGTCATTACTAAGTTCAAACTTCTATGCCAAATCCTGCTCTGCATTATTTCTGTTCAACCTCACTGCAAGAACATTACATTCTGGTCATGCAGGATCTTTCTTATTGGTGGTGATATGTGAGAGACATAATGTGGCTCAATTATCAGCTCTGAAGTTGAGTACACAAGGCTGAGAGCCCAATAAATAGCTTTTTGCCTCTGAACTGATTTGATCTGAAAGTGAACTGATAGACTAAACATGGAAGCTCTTGAAGTCATATATTCGGTTACTTTTGAGAGTAAGATCACATTTTCCATGTGTCTCTGAAATATTTGTTCCCCTAAGTTTGTCCGTGAAAAGTGAGACACAGCAGGATCTAGGGGAAAGGGAAATGTACTGGGAATCAGGAGACCTGCATTGGCCACTGACTTGGCGTGTGATGGGTATCTAACTGTGAAATTTGTAGAGCTCTTTGCACTCTATTTAAATAAGCCATTTCTTTCTTTCATTGAAGTCAGTGCCTGAACATCATTGGCAGCCAGATTCTGTAGTACCCAAACTCAATAATGTGAGAAGCAAGAATTTCTTAGGGTAATATCTTTATTAGACCAGCTGCATGTAGTTAGAATAGAGTTGGACAAGCTTTTGAATGCAAGGCACTCTTCTTTAGTTCTGAGGTGCATAATTCCTGGACCATCATGCCTACAATGTTGCTTCAGCACTACCAGGAATTTTGTAAGGCATTCACATTCTGTTCTTTGTTGTTGTCAGATGCCCGTAGAAAGCATGAGTACAATGAAAGCCATGTGATTACAGCGAGAAGAGTTAAACAAGTAAGCCATGTTTTCAAATAGATATATAATTTGTGCATGCTGTCTTCCATGCTCTGTTTTTCTGGCTAGGAGGGAATATTCTAATTGTGTGTCACCAAGACAATGCCACCAACATGACCCCAGCGAGCCCTGAGTGCAAGCTAAAACTGCCTTTCTGCAGTAGAAAGCACCAATGCAAGCCTAGTGTCTGCTTCTCTGAGGGACTATTTCTTTAGAGCAGCAACTCCTACTTCTCATCTGAAGGGCATTTTGCACACCCATATCTTAGCAGACATAGATCAAACCCAGTGACTGAATACTCTGGTTCAGGAAAGAGTCACAGGATGTGTCTTAACGTGCATTAAACCACTTTAGTTAATACGCATTAAATCTTGCACCTCTGGGCATTTATACACATGCTCCAGGAGTGGGGGAGGGGAGGAGGATGCTGTGAGAGCCACTCTAATTAAAGTGCCTGGAGCATCTTGTGTATTAACGTCCCCATACTTCAAAATGGTGACGGGCGCACTTTATCTAAAACTCATTGAATGAACTTTAGATAAAGTGCCCCCACTGCCATTTTGAAGCACGGGGGGGATGTTGATACCCAAGACGCGGGAGGGGGGCGGGGGGGGGGAAGGGACCGACCCCAGCAGACTCGATTAATTGAATCTGCTCTGATGCGCTGGAATTACAGTGTCTCGAAGCAGTCTCCCTGCTTATATGTAGGCACCCTTTTTTGTGAGGTACTAAGCACTAAAGAGCATGGTTTTTAATGATGCTTAATGCACATTAACTATGTAGCATAGGTTTTAAATAATGCTTTAATGCACATTAAAATAGGCTAATGTGTATTAAAGTGCAAGTGTAGCCGCACCCACAGGGCACATCCAGATGAGCGTGCATGTTCCTCTTGAAGTGTCTCAAACCAGTTTGAGACGGTATAAGAGGCACACTGAGAATGAAAAGATAGTCCCCACACTGCATATTTGCAGCACGGACTCAAAATTTGATACCTGGAAATCCCCCCAGAGAAAAGCGGCACAGAGCACAGTTCCCCACTGTGCCCTGAGGCAAGCCAGTGCTTGGACCTTCAGAGATGCTCTGGCATCAGGCCGGAGTGTCTATATGGTGCCCCATGCTGCCCTAGCACACTGTGTTCGTGTGCGGGGCAAGTAGGAGTGGCACAAGGCTATGACCTGGGCACTGTCCCTGGTAACTAGGACTCGGGGTGGAGGGGATTGTGGGGGCAGGGGTGGGGTTGTGGATGTGGGGGGGTTGTGTGGGAGTAGGGGGGGCTGGTCAGGGAGGATGGGTCCCCTGCAGGGCCTACAGCTTACACCCACAGCAGCAGCGGCCATGGGGTACTCAGGGCCCACTGCGGCCAGCCGGGTCCTGCCTCTATGGGCCCTGTGTGCCATCAGGCCGGGCCAGTTCCATGGAGGCAGGACCTGGCCCAGCATGACATGCTGTCTCTTTGAGCAAGGCCAGGCCCTGGGTGACAACCCGAGTGGCCCAGGGCTACTTGAAGGTGCACAGCACTGTGCCATGCCGCACTGCACCACACTGGGCCAGACCCACAACAAGCGGCACAGGTGCTGGTTCTGAAGTGGCTGGGGCCAGCCATGCCATGGGGGGAGGCTCTGGCCACAGCAGGCCCTGAGCACCCCACAGCCGCTGCTATTGTGAGGGTGAGCTGTGGGTCCTGTGGGCGAGGTGGGGGGGGCTGTGGACCCTGTGAGGAGGCTGTGACCTTGTGTGGGGGAGCTGTGGGCCCTGTGGAGGGGAGGGGGCAGTCCACGAGCAAAAGGGGTAGGGGCAGCTCTGATTTTTCTGACAAAAACCCCCCAAAGTAAATGCCAAAGCATATAGATATTTAGAATTTATTTTATTATGATGATAGAGCCACTGGTAGGCTTCCAAATTGCTTTAAACTTGTAAATATATCAATAAAACATTGCCTGACTGATCTCTCTCTATATAGTAACGTTTCATTTTAATAGCAAAAGAACACTATTTTGGGTATTTTAATGAGAGAATTTGGGTTTCTTATCAGAAAATTTGCAATTTTTAAACAGGGAACAACAGGATCTCTGCTGGTGAGACAAGTGGTGAGACCCGGGCAAAGGACCCTGTCCAGGGCCAGCACTGGGGACCCAGCTGGAGGGCAGACAAGGTGGCTGACCTCTTGGCCATTTGGGGCCAAGAGGACATGCTTTGACAGTTCAAAGTGGGCCACTGCAGGGAACACATCTGGGCGATAGCTGCCCAAATGGCAGAGCGGGGGCACCCCATCCAGGTGTGGCAGACATGCAGCCTTGGGGCTGCAGGTCCAAGGGGGTGGATGCTGTTACAGGTGGCAGCAGGTCACAGCCAGGCAGCAACCCCCACTGCCAGACTGCTGTAGAGTGTGCAGGGACCACTCTGAGTTAGGGCTGCTTCAGCAGTCCAGCTGGCACAAGGTGCTAGTGTCCCTAGATACCAACTGGCTGGGTTTCAGAAGCTCCCCGAGCTGCTCGCCAGGGCAGCTTTTTATATTGTTGGGGCCAACATAGGTGTTGGCTGCAGACTCTAGTTCCCCTTGGCTGCAGATCTGGGAGGAGCTGGGCAGGGGGTTTTTGCCCCAAGTGCCACAACTTGCCCCACACCAGAGTGCATTTCCAGGCATGTGCACTGAGGCAAAAATCCCTGGCACAAATTTGTGCTGCTCCTATTTGAGTTCCTGCGAGTGCACGTGCCTGCATGTGTGGATGCGCCCACAGGCTGTAATTCTAGGATTTGGCATTTTGGAGTGAGACAGCATTAGCCTAAACAGGTAGGGAACTATCCTAATCCACATTAAATTATTTAATAGTAGATAAAGGCAAAGCACTAAAGAATCTACCATATTGACAGGATAAGATGACCTTTTTCATCTCTAAGTTTTGGAGTCCTATGAAAAATTCTGAAGTGTTGACTTTTTATCAAGTTTGAGGCTTACAAAACCACTTAAGGGAGTTAGACACACAATTCCCAATAACGGGACTTGTGCACTTTGCACAGTGCACCTTGCAGTTGAAGAATGCCATTAGTTGCATACCTAGTTGCGCAAATCAAAGAGTCAAAAAGGCTCTAGATGTGATGATAGTCACATCACTCCTTTGTTTGCCGTTGGCTAAAAAAGCTGTCCTGTCTTAACACTACTAACCGAATGGGGTGTTTGGCCTGGGTGAACCTTTTTGCTTTGATTTCCTGATAGCCAGAAGAGAACTATAACTCTTCAGTCATAACTTGAAAGAAGTTACTAGAGTTATTTCTATGTTAAAAATGGGGAAGCACTCTTGTGATGGGATTTTTCTCTGGTTTTACCAGAGTCCCAAAGGAGAATACCTGCTACCTGAATCAGCTGAGCTGGAGTGCGTTAAGTATTGTGTTGTGTATGATGGCAAAACCAGCTCCTTGGAAGATTATGATTATGAGGAGGATGAAGAAGGTATGTTTACTGATTAGAGACAGATACTTACAACCTTATCAAACCCATTGTCCGGGTATGTGAATAACTTTTATTCCTCATTTACCCTTATCAGATATACCCATTTCAGATTGGTTAACAAGAACATTCAGTTGCACCTGCCTTTCTTTTTTTTAATGTGATGTGCCTCTTTGTTTTTCATACATTCTGTCCTAGACTTCACAAATGCAGATCTGCTTTCAGGGAACTCAGGCAGGCTTAGTTTCCAATCTGAAAATGTTGTACTTATAAAGTTCTTGTTTCAAGTAGAAATTAGACTGTTCTTCCAGGTTCAGATGCTATTGACTCTGTCTGCTTGTTGCTTTTTAGGGACTGAATCTGCTGATGACAGCTCTACAGATGAATCTAGTTCTTCATGCTCCAAAAGTGAGTCTTTTTATTTGACTATTAACCTGAAGGTAATAAAAAAACTCTTTACATTATCACGGTAAAAAATAGGACTTGCCTTGGGCGGGAGTCTGGACTGGATGACCTCATAAGATCCCTTCCAGTCCTGTTTTTCAATGGGCCAATGATCTCAGTTCAGCAACTAATTAAGTATGTCCTTAACATAAGTGAAATTATTTTTGTGAGCAAAGTCAGGCATTTTACTTAAGCATCTGCAGGTAAAATCTGAATCCCCACACTCCTCTCCCCCTCCACCAGGTCATAACATCAACTAAGGGAATTTTATCCTGAGCACTTCCCTCTTTCTTCTCTGCCTTTTCTTTGCTGGCCTAACATAAATTACTTAGAATAGTAGTTTTTCCTTATAATTTGTTTCACTGCAGGGTGCTCCGCAAAGAATTAACAGGATGATAAATAGTACCTAGACCTACAAAGGCACCAGAGGAAGAATAGTCATGTTCCCCATTAAAAAAAAGGACCTGAAGGAACAATAGGAAAAAGGTAGCTCTCCAGACAACAGGTGCACAGGGCATACAGGATGTCCCTAGTTGTTACTGTACAGCAACAGTGTCTGGGGAGTTTAGTGTAACTTTTAACAGTTCCCTTGGGGTCCTTCAGAGCTGGCCTCTCTATAATTAAAGGAATTGTCACCATTGACATCAGCGATGCTAGGATTTCAGCCCAGGCACTCTAAGTCTAGCCTCCTTGTCGTTTCCCTTCAGAAAACATGCTTTTTTATGTCTATAGATGCTGAAGCAGGCACTGCCATCCAGTGTGCCAGAGTCTTAGAGCAGTTTACTCATCACCCAGTTCGCATCCTGAAAGGTGGATATGAGCGTTTCTCTGCCTGCTATCATTTTTTGAGAACTCAGAAAATATTCTGGATGCCTCAGGTGAGCTTCTTAGATGAGAAGGGCCAGGCCTTTGTTCTATGTATACAATGATTTTATGTGTATTTGGCTAATGCCAGGGAATTGTCCATTAATAATTAAAGGGACTCTGTCAACTTGGTGTTTAACCAACTTCAGAAAAGGACTTATAAATCATTTCTGATAGTACCTTTGCACCTGAGTCTCCCTGCTAATTACTGTTCTTTTACAACCATGTTCATTTGTTTTTCACTGGTTTTCCTCTCTCTATTACTAAGTGGAAAAACTCAAGAAAACAATCAAGGGCACTTGATTTAATAAGGATGAAATTCACTAAACAGAAGGTGGAGTTAATTATAACAAAAAGAAGATGTTTTTTCCAATTCCTTTTAAGTTATAGGAATCTGAGATATTATCATGTTATTTTAAAACCAGCACACTTCATTCTGAAAAATGTTTCCCAACTGACAAGTCCCAGATGTGTCCTGCCTTTCTTCATGAAGGATACCACTGTAAATGCAGATGTATTGTTTCAATACTGAGTCATGGAGAAGAGTGTCATCACCCAAAATCACTTGATTTATCTCCTGAAGCATATTGAGTTATTTTGCAAATAGTGATCAGCCTGGATCCTGCCTAGCTTATCATCATCATCATCATCATCATCTTTTCAACATCTTGGGCCAGGCTTTACAAAAAGTCTGGTGACACATCAATACACGGGTCTTTGACAAAATCCATCAGTAATGCAGCACAGGCCTGTGCAGTGCTTCAGTGCCATTTGTTTGCTTAACAAGGTGACTTAAGGTGACCTGCAAAGGAAAAAAAATAAATTGGCTTTATGTTTCTGTTTTGCTGTTTTATGATGATGATTTATATAACATTCCATCTCCCTAAATTTTCTCTGCAGTTTCTGCTGGATACCACGTTTTCCTTTACTTCTTGCCCTAAGTTTCTTTATAATGTGTTCTGTTGAGCAGCTGTTGTGCTCTAGCCCAGTGCTGGCTGCAGTTCGGTGGTGGGCAGCGATGCATAGTCACCAGCTCAGTACTCTTTCCTTCTGCTCTTGGCCTGGATATAAAATGTTGTCCTTAACTTCATGCTTCCCAAACCAGAGCCCGCTAAGCTGCACTCAAAATTGTCTTGCTTGAGCAGAAGTGAGGTGGAGTTGTGTTATGCAATCACAGGTGCAGTCCTTTTAATTGGCAAGTGATTTCACTTGACTTTGAAACAAGTCATCTTCAAACACTGGTGAATCAGATGTGTCACTGTTCCTGCACATATGACAAGGGACATAGTCTATCTTATGTTGAAATGCCATTTCAACCTGGGCCACCATGGCTCTGACACTCTTAACTTTATTTACTATATTTAGTGTTGACTGTCGTTTCTTATAATGTCCAACTGATTAAACAAATCACTGTTATTGAATATGGATGTGGACCACGGACTGAATCATAAGAAGAAATCAATCAATGCTAAGATTTATGAACTTTCAAAGTGACTATGAATGCAAGTAGAAATACAGCCCTCACTCTCTAGTGATTCTTTTGTTTCTCTTCTGCAGGAACTAGAAGACTTTCAGCCATATCCAGTAGAGATACTTCCTGCTAAGCTATATATGGGCAATTTGAGGCAAGCCTGTGATCGTCAGATTCAGAAAGATCTGAAGATCAAAGCACAAGTCAACATCTCAGAGGACACAGCAACACTGTAAGTCAAAATATCCAGCTGGATTTACATCAGTGGTTCCGTGCATGTGAAACGCTGCCAACTGTTATAGTTTGAGAGCCCCTTAGCAGAAACTGTGTATTCTTAGGCTCTTATTCACCAGAGCAGCAGATTGGCAAGAAGCAGTGGCTTGAACTTAAAGATGTTCAGTACTTGCTGTTCTGGCATCTGCACCTCAAAGGTGGCAAAGCAAAGATGCATTACAGCATCAGCCTACCCTGTCTTGGAAAGAATGATGCTATGTAGGGCAGTGATGCCCAGCCTTTTTAGCTTGCAGGTCAGATGAGCAGTCCCAGGTCCATCCACAGGCTGTATCTAGTGCATGGTGCTGGCCCAGCTGGGGCCTGATCCAGCCACACACTTAAACAGCCTGGCCACGTCCGATCTGACTGCCAGGGCCCAAGGTAGCTATTCAAGAATGGCCTGGCCAGAGCCCAGTCCCACTTGGCTGCATTGGGCCCCACCTGGTCACGTGTCTTCATTGGGCCCTAGCCCCACATGGCTGCATCAGGCCCTGGTCAGGTTGTGTCTGCACAGCTGGATCAGGCCTCAGCCATACTATACCCATGCAGCTGTATTGGGCTCTGGCCAGTCTGTTGCCTCATGGTCAGATCAGGTCCCAGCTCAGTCCAGCTACCCGGGAACAGGGCTTGACCCTGTCATGTGGGGCTGGCCCAGCTAGGGCTAACCCAGTTGTGTGGGGCTTGGAAATGTGATGGCAGGGGAGCTGTGGCAGTGTTTCATAGTTTCATAGCTGGTAGGGTCGAAAAGGACCTGAGCAGATCATCAAGTCCAACCCCCTGCCATGGGCAGGGAAGAGTGCTGGGGTCAAACGACCCCAGCTAAGTGATTATCTAGCCTCCTTTTGAAGACCTCCAGGGTAGGAGCAAGCACTTCCCTTGGAAGTTGGTTCCAGATCCTAGCTGCCCTGACTGTGAAGTAATGCCTCCTGATATCTAGCCTGAATCTACTCTCAGTCAACTTATGGCCGGTATTCCTTGTTACTCTGGGAGGTGCTTGGGGGAACAGGGACTCTCCCATTGCCTGTTGGTAATTGCCACTGCTTTCCCAGTGCCAAATTCCTAGACCTATAAGGAGACCTGTGGACCAGTTTACATGGCTCCATGGGCCAGATCTGGCCTGGAGGTTGGGAGCTGAGCATCTCTGATGAGTGTGGTGTTTAATAGTGGAATTCCAACATTTAGCAACACTCTTCACTGAGAACTTAATATTAACATCCTGAAGCAACTTTTAAGAAGAAAATTTAAAAACCATCATTTACTCTCCCTGTCCTGATTTCTTTTACTGCAGGAGTATCTAACCCACCTGGGGCCCCAGGCCAGATCCTGACCACAGGGCTTCTCATGGGCTGGATCCAGTGCAGGGAACAGGAGCGGCTGCTGTAGCCACTGCAACAGCAGCAGTGGCAGTGAGGGACTCAGGGGGCAGTAAGAAGTCCAGCAGCAGTGGCAAGGGGTCTGGAGGAAGCAAAAAGTCCAGGGAAAGGTCCACCAGTGGACTGACAGCAGCACTGAATCTGGGAGAGCAAGTCCAAGGGTGGCAGCAGTGAGCCAAGCTTGCCACCAATGGGCATGGCCAGCAGGGCCAAAGGGTCTTGAATTCTGAAGCAGACCATACTCCCAACTTCCCATGGCGCACTGGTAGCCCAGCAGGCCAGACAGGGTGCATGTTTGACACCACTACTTTACTGTATTCTTGTGACCAAAGCTATTTGACAAGGCACTTGAGCTAATGAACAAGTCACAGAGCTTGAAAAACCCAAACATCCAGTGTTATTGTTCCAGCTTGGAACATTCTTCTTTTATTGCTTTGCATCCTTTACTTGATGAGTTCAGATACTGAAGTGTTTTATGCCTTGTGAAGCAAGAAACCTCAGGAAGCAGCTTTGTGTGTGATCATATTTTGGGGGGAAAATTTCCAAAATGCATGAATCAAAGGAACACTCATTTTCAGTGTATTTGCCTTCCTCTACCTCCCAGAGGGAACATGGAACAGAGGCATGTTCATACATAAATACATATGTGGTATAAAATGGGAAAATATTCAAACACTTTGGTTATACATAGAAAGCAGCTTGATTTATTTACAGACCATCCTTACTATGAGAATCAAATCTATTATTTACCTAAGACAGCAGTCAAGAACTTTTTAAGGCTGTGGGATAGATTAACCCAATTTGAGTCAGAGGCAGGTGGACAGGTTGGTGCTAGGACCCATCTGCTTAATAATTTAGTAACTTGCTCTAGCAAGTAGAAACGTGCAAAACTGCTTTATTGGCCTATTTAATAGATCTGCTATATGTTCTTTTTCCAGTTTCACAGAAGAAAATGAAAAATTCCTTCATATTTCTGTCCCGGATTCTCCTGATGCAGATTTGTTTTCCTTTTTTCCCAATATTTGTCACTTCATAGGTAGGTGCATCTTGAGCTATAACCACTGAGATCTCAGCTGCATGCAGATATTATGTCAATATGCAAACAAACAGCTCCAGTGACTTGAAGTTCAGTATCTTTCAACACTAGGAATTCTGCTCTCAAACACCCCTGCTCACTGACGGTGCACAGTTGTGGACCGATAACCTTTCTGATGAAGGAACAAAGATTTTGGAATGAACCAGACTGAAATCTCTGACTCCTGCCCCTTCACCCAGGAGTATCCTGCTCTGTGAGTGGTCCCAAATATTGAAATGGAATTACTCACCACCCAGTACACTCACTGGTGTCAGAACCTGGTCCTGAGTAGCGATTAGGATCACTGTTCAGGCATTTGTCCAGCAAAAAGAATAACAGCATGTTCCAATCAGAATTCATTCAGTTAGAAATAACAATAGATCAGATTAAGTAGTCACTGAACTGCCATTACAAAGTTATCACCTCCTGTTTGTCACAAGGTGTCAGATGATGTCAAAGACCTCTGAATGGGCAAGAAGATTAAGATATAGAGCCTCTTCAGCTCTAGGCAATGGGCACGCATCTGATGTAGGTTAGGAATGACTGATCATCTGAAGAACAACTGGGAACTTGTGCCAAGTGAGTTTGCTAGCCTTAGTCATTTCCAGTGGCCAGTGTAATGCACCCCAGTACTGGAGCAACAAAGTTGTCCCTCCTGGCCACCACCTGGACCCCACCTTGTTATCTCCTCTGGGTCTCACCCTGTTATCCCACCTGCCACACCTCAGTGTTATTGTTTGACATGGAGGCTGCCCCTAGACAGCAAACAGGGTTTTGGTTGGGCTGTGGCTCCCTGAATTTAGTCCACTTTACTCTAGCTGGGTGGTCCCTGTGCCTGAGGTCCACTGTACTGGGGCATAGGCTCCCAGGGTCCAGATCCAGTCACACCCTCTTGGGCTCTGGGCCCCTCAGTCCTTGGTTTTGCCCTCATGAGCTCTGGACTCTTTGACCCATGGATTCACCCTTGCAGGCTGGGCTTGCATCCCCAATCTTTGCTGTGTGGTACCACAGTCCTCCAATACACAGCAGTCCTGCTTTTGTTGTGTTTGTGCTTCTGCCCGACGCAGCCCACCAGACTTGAAGCCCTGGAAGTGCCCTGTGTGGGATACCCCCGCAGCACCTGGGTGGCTTCCAGAACCTCCCCTTACAGCCACATCCAGTCCTCCAGTCTTGACACAAAGCAAAAGCATGAGCATCTTCTCCTAAAACAACAGATTCCCCTGATGGGAATAATTCCACCCTGCGGTAGTACTACTGCAAAGACTCAAGGCATTTCTCTTTTGCAGTACAGGGTTTCTTCCAACCTCCCTGCAGTGCAGAGTCCTTCCTTTGCAGGCCATCTAGGCTGGCTCTGCCTCCTGCAGGTCCTAGCTCCTACAGCCAGACTGCCCTGCTTGGGTCCACCCCTCAGTTTATGAGTCTGTCTCTTGAGTCACCTGACTCTCTACGTCCACCCTAGGCCTGTCAATCACCACCTGCACCTGGGGCAGGCGTCCATTTTATTTAAGGTCTTGTTTCCTTTATAAATCTTTTCAAGGGGCATTGGTTGGCCAGATGACCCTGAGCTCCCTCTTCCCCTCAGTAATAGGGTAGGGACCCTGTTACAACAGTTATCTACATCCCAGTTAAAACACCACCACTGCTACATTCACTTACTCCCCACTGGTAGTCCTAGAAGACAGACTGAGGAGGTGACAGTGGAATTCCACCACTATCCTTCACAGTGATCCCTCCGTGTAAAGGTTGAAGAGTCTTTTATTACAAGCGATGTTTGGCCACGACTGATCCGTCACTATAAGCAAGCCTTAGACAGTTTTCTGACAATGGTGATACTGGTTTGCAGTGCCTTTTACTGATTGGTAACTTTGCAGCTGTGTTTAAGCACAGAGATGATTCCTAGTGAAAACAAACTTATGGAGCAGTGGTAGAGAACCTTGCTCTGATACTGCCTGCCTATACCTATTTAGTGGATCGAGAAAGCTTGTGTCTCTGGAACCGTTAGCCTGGCACCTTTCTCAGAATCAAAAGTTCACTTTAAAAGAAGTGGGTGAGGTTTTCCGTGTGTGACATTAGTTGTTGCTGGAATTTCTCTTTTTAGATGCTCAAATTACTCATGGAGCAGTACTGGTTTTCTCTGACTTGGGTATAAGTCGAAGCAGCACAGCAGTAATAGCCTTCCTCATGCATTCATCCTTTTTCCCCTTAAAGGTATGTCAACACTTCTACCTCCCACAGAGAGCCTCTTGGGTCTCCTGAACATCATTTGCTGAAGCCTTCTGAGGTGCTGCAGTAATGAGCAACACAACCTGCGATTTAATGCGGAGTCCCCGATGAATAAAACAATGTAGACAGAGACATATCTGTAATGTCAAGGAGGAGGCCTGGGTTTGATTCATGGGCCTGTGGTAATATATCGCAGAATGTGAGAAAAGTACTGTTCCCTAGCAAACCCCAAAGTAACAACTATGGCTGACTGGAAGGATTAAAATCCAAGCAACTCCTGTTTCCTCTATCTGAATGAGAAAGAGACCGTGGGGGCTCCCATGAGCCAGCTTTGTCCCTCAGTACTGAGGGGTGTGGTAAGGTCTGGCTCACCTTGTGAAACTCTGGCCTAAACCTGGACTCAGCAGCATGGGCTTTTTTATAAACGACAAATTGCTTCCCTGTCCCCTGGTTATTCTTATATGGAGATGTAGAATAGGCATGGTCTTCTAAACATTAAAGGGGAAGTACCTTAATGTCATAGTTCTGTACAGCTTAAGCAAAATAATGGGGAAAAGATGAGGAGTTCCCACTATGTACAAGATTGAAGACCTATCTCAGCGCATTCAAAGTGTCTTAGTATTCTGCGGAAGTTGTCTATACCTTATGCTGCCCTCTTAGTATAGGCCAGGATATGTCGTAGCTGATCTCCCCCAGGGAAATTGCCATTGTCTTTGGAAGGAGCCCCCATAAAAATCTTGGTCTTGTTTGAAAAATGGAGACTTCTTTCTGACTCACAGAGCTGTGAATACAGATCATACAGAAGTAGAGCACAGGTCTAGCCATTTAACTGATTGTGTAAGCACTTGCAACACAAGCAGAGGGTCTGTTCTACCAAGATATATGTCAGAGGGGAACTGCGGGGTGAGTTTGCCAACACAGAAGAGGTTATCTGTATGCAAAGCACAGGCATCAATTCTTACCAAGCTACCCTACTAATATGGGTGTAATTGCTCCCATGGACTGATAACAGTCCTCTCACTATTGCTCCCTCATAGGCTGAGCCCTACTAAATTACTGTAGGTTCTTGCACCCAAAGTGCAACAGTCAAAGGCTGACAACTGCCATTTCTCTTCATTGTGATCAATGGCTTTGTCTTAATACCTTGTCTAGCTTTTAAAATTAGATCTGCACCGGAGTCCTGTTCCATGAAGCTTTCCTATGGGAATATTCTGATAGACAAATCCCCTCAGTGTTTGGACAGCAGCAGTATAATATACTCAACTTATTTTTCAATAAAATCCTTTATGATTTGGACAGAGGTCCTGAAAAGCTCTAGCAAGGCTTCAGGAATCCTGGAGACAGGAGTGTTAAAAAGAAACTGCATGTTAGGACATGCAGACCCTTACTCACATGAGCAATTAATGCATGAGTAGAGCTACTGAAGTCAGTGGGACTAATTTTTGTGATTAAGAATTACTCATAGGACCAAAGGTTGGAGAATTTAGACCCTTAGTCCCCAGAATCACAGAGATCAAGGAAAACCCCCATACACTATCTTTTCACCTTTAATCTCATTAAGCAACCTTTATTACAGTCCAATTGCTACTGGACATTCTGGTTTTATGTGGGGAGAATGGCTTTTGTCAGCAATTTCTGTGGTATACCCTGAGTAAAGTGCAGCACTGTCTGCAAAACACCCTTGCCATGTAACAGTTTGCCCAGCACAGATAATCAAGATGGCTGTGATCTTCACTCTGGGAGGGCTGGACAGCTCTGTGGCTTCTCTGTCATTATAAATCAGTGCTGTGCCATGTCCTGTTGTGCCAGCCCAGGCACTAGGTAGGCAGCTGCAAATAGTTGCTCTTTGGCTGCTCTTTTCCCTATGACTGAGAGAAATCAGCAGCATTTTACAGTGCCATCAAACCAAGGAATCAAAAGTAGAATTTCAGTGCTGTGTTACTGCAGCCTTAGAACTTCCTAGACCTTAAATGCTGGAGGTTGCAAGTGAGAGAGGAACAGTAGGAAAAACCCTGGTCAGACCCAGTTCACTTTCCCTTTCAGCATCCACTCCCTGCCACTGCATGGCACAGGATACTGGGCAAGATGGACCTATGGTCTGATCAGTGGAGAATGATGTATATCGTAGATTGAGGCCTGAGCTGCACCATTCAGAGATAGTAATATGAATATCAGTTCAGCCCATCAGAGAGAGAAAGAGCTGCTTGCGACTTCAGATCTGGATCTAAACTATGTCCAGTGCCTTGGTATGCGTCTGTAGCTTCCTATGCTGTGTATAATGTGGAAGGAATACATATACAACTGTGTGGGCTACAGTGTGACTATATTACATTTACTTCCTTGTCCATTGATTTGACACTAGCTGTATCTAACATCACTCCATGTGACTGAATTTAGACTTCAAAATCAGGACCAATCTGTGGTTTGTAGGTGGGTCCCATTAGCAGCATTACCATTCACCAGACCGGTGCGATGCTGTTCCTACTCTATTTTTACTCCCAAGGAACCAAGCTAAACTTTTCCATGTAAATTCCTACACCTCCATTCTCTCTCGAATCCAGCCTATATTGGATTACTTTTGGCTCACCAAAACAGTACAGGATAAACCAACTCAGACTGGGCAGGAAAATGAATGGTCTGGACTTGGAAGAGAGTCACATGTTAGCCTATGAGTCCATATCTCAGATATGTTACTTTAACTAGCATGTTTAGTCAATAGGATGCTATGCTGTTTTGTATTTAGGGAGGCAGACAAAGCTTCTCTCTCTCCTTCAGGTACAGGAGAGCCAAATCCTATAGTCCTCTGCTGTCAATAGGGAATTTTGCCCTTAATTTTAATATAATCATTGGTCTTTGTCTACATTTTTATGAGGCATCTACCACTGGGCCTCCTAGACACTTCTATGATAAAATAAAGCAACGATATTTATCCTTAGAAGCTGGAGGGGTGGGAGAAGGGGGGTGTTCTGTCATTAAGGTCCTGACGCGTCTCCTTTTCTTTATCTGTATTTACAGAGGGCTTGGCATCACGTCCTGCAATGCAAAACAAACATGAGGCCAAACCGGGGTTTTGTGCAGCAGCTGTCAGACTGGGAAAACAAGCTCTTCAGGACCGTGATCACGGATATCTCGGAACCAAATTATTAAGTGAGAACAATCAATGGGCAAAGGGGCCTTTCTGTGTGAGCCACAGCAGAACTTAGGCCATATGTCACCAGATGTTGTTTACATTTTTTTGAGTCAAAGTTTGGAGACCATATTCAAGCTTGTTCATGTTGCAAGTCAGTGGAAATTTTATATAAGCAAAGACTTCTGGTTTGGACCCATTTTGTTGCAACTTTTATTTCCATCAGAAGAAGCCATTGAAAAGCAGTCCATTGATCTCCAACCTTGGAAAGACAATGGGTACTTTAGCAAGCACAACTACTGTTTCAAAAACATGTAAACATGGAATGTTAATGTTCCAGATAATCACTCCTACATCCTCTCAAACACCCAGGAAGAAGCAGGGTCCATGCCTTCATGTGCATTTCTGTCTCCCGTTGACTTAAGTCTCGTACAAGTTGTGACCGAAGAGACTATCTCCTAGCCTTCTGTTTGGATCTTCACACTGCAGTAGTAATCAGACTTTTTTGCACGGAAGTTGTACTTGAAGAGCCTTTCCTAATATATGAGATACAAATTAAAGCCTGCCATGCCCAAAGTCAGTACGGTCTTTCTCCCTCTTAGCATTGTCAGTTCTTTACAGCAGCAGAAGCAGCAGCTTTTTAGGCTTTAGACAGAATATTCATCTCACTGTGCATCTTCATTCTTTAATTGAATCTTCAAAGATTTTGAGAGGTCTCTACCAGAATATTTTTACCACCTCCATAGATGTTTGGTCTGGGATACATTTCTCTCTTGGTATTATTGCTAAATGCAGACACCTAACTCGTGACTGTTGAGATCTTTATGATGTGTAAAAACTGGGTGACCTCAATCAAACACCAATATTGTAAATGTCAGTCAAACATGCGCTGGTTGCATTGTTCATTCACTGCAGATAGATCTATATAAGGACTTAACAATTTTGTACTTTCTGATTCTGCTGACACTTTTGAAGAAGTGTTACTGTAATAACTTAATATTTCAGACCAGTCCAGCTTCTTATGGGCTAGTTCTTCGCCCGATGTATAGTCCTTTACAGGTTTTAATGGAGGTATAATGGTTTATCCCAGTGGTGCTCATACTTTTGGCCCCTTGGGCCAGATGAATGGTCTGGGGCCAGTCCATAGGCCAGATTGGGCCCTGCATCACCCCCGCATGCTGAGACTCAATCTGTCACACGCCACGGCCCCTTGGAGCCCAGCACTGTTTCTGCCCAGCTGAAGCCAAATCCTAGCCGGGTGAGGGTAATGAGTCCCAAAGGCCAACGCTGGCTGGGCAAGAGCCAGGCAGAGGCAGTGTAGGGCCCCAGAACCTGATCCCAGCCAGGTGGAGGCAGTGTGGGATTCATGCTTCCCCTGCCCAGCTGGGAGCAGGTCCTGCCCGTCTCCCCACAACACGCACCAGGATCATGGTGTCTTGGGGACGTGAACTGCCCTGGCTGGCTGGGATTGGGCTCAGGAGTCCCGTGCTGGTGGGAAATCTGAGCCTGCCTGCACCAGCCCTGGTCAGCGGTGGGGGTGCTCCAGCCCTGCCCCCAGCAGAAGGGAGCTGCGGGCTGGCTTTGCCCAGCCAGAGCTGGAGGGGGCAGAACAGAGCCCCCTCACCCCCCCCCCCCCGCAAACTCACCCCGCCGGGGGACCGGGGGGGGGCGC